ACCCCCAGCGAGATGGATTGGCAAAGTGGCAGCATCAATGGGTTCAAGTGTGGCAACAATTGTGAGGTTGGCCCAGGACCAGTAAGTGTTTCGTTCTGTTGTACGTAGGGTCGCTATGAGTCGGTACCGACCTGGTGGCACCTAACAACAACAACAACAACAACAACAACATAGGACAGAACAGAACTGCTCCACAGTATTTCAGAGACTATAAATCTTTGTGGAATCAGACAGTCTCTTTTTCCCATGGAGTGGCTGGTGGATTTGAAGCAGCTGGCAGACCTTTCAATTAATATTCCAACCCACTATACCATGAGGGACACTTTACTAGGCCCTGAAATGTATTAAAGCTAAGTGGCTTGAGACTTCTCTAAAGAACAAGAGAACAACCAAATAGCTTTAAAATTAGGATAAGGTGTGCACAAGGGTTGTATTGTCTCACCTTACTTATCTGTATGCTGAGCAAATAATCCAAGAAACTGAATTGTAATGGAGAAAAAATGTGACATCAGGACTGGAGGAAGACTCATTAACAACCTACAATATGCAGACAATGCAACCCTTCTTTACTGAAAGGGATGAGAACTTAAGACACTGATGAAGATCAAATACCCAGCCTTCGGTGTGGGTTGCAGCTCAATTTAAAGAAAACAAAATCCTCACCATTGGACCAATAAACAACATCCATATAAATGGAGAAAAGATTGAAATTGTCAAAGACGTCATTTTGCTCATATCAACCATCAACATTCATAGAAGCAGCAGTCAAGAAATCAAACGACATATTGCATTAAGCAAGTCTGCTACACAAGACTTCTTTAAAGTGATCAAGAACAAAGATACCAATTGGAGGACAAACGTGTACCTGACCCAAGCTCTTAGTTTTTTAGGTATTTTTAACAACTTCATATGCATGTGAAAGTTGGACAGTGAGTACGAAAGACTGTAGAAGAATTAATGCATTTGAGTTATGATATTAGATGAGAATATTAAAATTACCATAATCTTCCAGAAGAACAAACAAATCTGTGTTTGAAAAAGTACAGCCAGAATGCTCCTTGGAAGCCAGGATGGCCAGACTTCATCTCTCATAGTTCAGACATATTATTAAGAGGGACCTATTCCTGGAGAAGGATATCATGTTTGGTAAAGTGGAGGGCTGGAGGAAAAGAGGAAGACCCCAATGAGATGGATTGGCACAGTGGCAGGAGCAATGGGCAGAAACGGCAAGAATTGTGAGGATGGCCCAGGACCTGGCAGTGTTTCATTCTGTTGTGTATGAGGTCGCTATGAGTCGATACCCAATTGATTACACCTAACAACAACACTGTAATATGTGTGGTGCTTTAGGATAAGCACTGTACTGCTAACTGCAAGGTCAGCTGTTCAAACTCATCAACCACTCTTTGGAAACACTATAGAGGGTTGCTATGAACTGGAACTGACTTGACGGCACTTAACAACAACACAAAAATCATAATGCTAAACTCCAGAAGAGAATGGAAAACTGTTTCCAGGAGTTGGTGGCGGTGTTGTCAAGTACCATTGAGTACGTTCTGAGTCCTAGCGACCCTGTATGGGGTTTCCATTTCCGGAGGGCAGCTGACCTTAGGGTCTAGTTCTTATTCTACAGTGCCAGGTTGTTGTTGTTAAGTGCGATCAAGTCATTTCCAACTCATAGCAACCCTGTATAGGATTTCTGCGGTAG